TGTGTATTGTGTTGGCCACAGCCACCGGGATGTCATACCTTGTAGGAAACGAGCACAAAAGAAAGGTCCTCAAATGGTCCCCGGGTAGCACAAAAGAAAGGTCTTGAAATGGTCCCTGAGGAGTCGCGAGGACTTTAGGTACCCGAGGAACTTTAGAGATGCTTCATGAGCCATCAGGGGCATAAGGAGCCATCTTACCAACGGGCCTCGCACAGTTTGTACACCCATGAACTGTTGAAATACAGACCCAAGTTCAAATCCAGGTACAGTCAGATTAACAGAGTACGCCCTGAAATTGTACCCGAGGACCTTTATAGATGCTTCATGAGCCATCAGGGACATAAGGAGCAATCTTACCAACTGGCCTAGCGCAGTTGGTACATCCATGAACTGTTGAAATACAGACCCAAGTTTAAATCCAGATGCTGCCGGATTAACAACGTACATCCTGAAATGGTACCCCAGGACCTTAGGTACCCGAGGGTCTTTAGAGGTGCTTCTTTAGAGGTGCTTCATGAGCCATGAGCCATCAAGGACATAAGGAGCAATCTTACACGTCCACGAACTGTTGAAATACAGACCCAAGTTCAAATCCAGATGCTCCCGGATTAACAAAATAACGTACTCCTGAATGACCGAGGGCCGGTCAGTTCAATGATGATACCTCAAGGCCGTCGCCTTGTTTTTATTTTTTATTTTTTAAAGGAGCAATCATTCATTAGGAAGTGGGCGATACCAAAATCACCCAACACGATATTGACTGTGGTGGTTAGATCCCACACTTTTCTCGGTATTGATGATTTTTGGATGATCAGTTGGTGGCCTGTACACGAGGGCTTTAGTACTATGTTAGGGGGGGCTTGGTGCTATGTTAGGCAGAAGGTGCACTATTTAGTTATTTTGTTGTACTGAACCTGTAGTGGGCCTGCGTGGTCAGGCATGAAACTAGGTTGGCCATCGCTAGCCACACTATGCCCACGCCATTGAGGCTGGCGTTGCTATTTTATTTATTTTGTGCCCCCATGGTCTGGCATGACACTAGGTTGGCCATGGTGGCTAGCCAAACTAGACCCACAGAACAAGACTGGCCTTGCTATTTTTATTTGTTTTTTGGACTGTGACGCCCAACCTCACGCCCTGCGTGCTCCTGTGTCGAGGTTCTAAGGACAGAACGGGATCGGCCCAATTAGGGAGGGCAGCAAAATAATTTGTCTACAAGGCTGCTGACGGGTCGGGCCCTGGGTCGAGTCCAAGGTCGGTGTTAAGTTTTTCCAGGCCGACGGATGTCTGCGAGAAGATGCAGGTCTCGCTGTTCACCTGGCACCTACGGGGCTACCAGAGTTCTGAATCTGACGCAGAGGGCCTCAGTCGCAGGCTTCGAGTGCGGAGTTCGTCCTCACTGCGAGCTCTGCAGGAGAACCCGAGGTGTGCTAGGCGTTTTCCTGCCTACACTTGGAACACAAGAGTGGAGGCCGATGCAGGGAGATCACTGACCACGGAACTACGATTAGCTTATGATAGGGAAGGAGAGTAAAGAAGGACGGGAAGTCAGTCTCAACAAACACAAGCCCAGGTTGTGCGAATTTCTGGTGGAATCTCAGGTCAGGATATTGGCTGGGACAAGGCGAGCGAGCGAGGGCCTGACGAATGTCCCACTCGCCGACCAGTTCCCAGCTGGTTATGTAGGGGAAGGCAGGGGGATCGGATCTTTTGCGGTCGCAATCCGAAGCAACACCTGGCCAAAATTGTAGAAAATATCAAAAGTTGACGACTCACAAAAATTAGACATGGGCGGAGTCACCGAAGATCTAGCTACAAACTTGCAAAGTGCAGGAAAGGAAAACATCCGATGGTGGACGTAGCACATGCGGCTGCAGAAAATCAGCACGTCCACTCAGATCTCAGGACAACAACGGAACTGCAGAAAATCAGCACGTCCACTCAGATCCTAAACATTCACAATCTACGCAGATCATACGAACAAGACTCAGATCAGATCCGTTCAGTTGCAAGCAGAAAGGACACCACATTCAAGTGCGGAATACATGCATTTCCGTATCAAAGACATAATTAGATCGAGAAGGAGGAGAGGAAGGACAGGAAAATAGAACGATGTAGATGGAGAAGGCAGGGAAGAAGTGACCTCAGGGGAAGACTAAACTTCAGAGAAATTTTGCTGAATTCGAACACGAAAAAATCCCAAGTATAACCCGATCATCCCACACTCTCTCTCTCGTCAACACCCACTTCCGAACTTCGTGCAGGCAGTCCGTTGCCACGCACCCACCAACTACCCAGAGTCGTCACCCTGCTTAGTCCGATTACACAACCGGCGTCCCCGCTACGTGTCAACTAACCCCGCACAATTGCCACCAGCCAGTCGGATCGCCCACTTTGTAACTCACCTCTGCGATACCAGCACACGTTAGCCGATTGTGCTAACTCTAAAGTTTAGATTAGAGAGAGAAGGTCGTGCTTACGAAATATATATAAGAAGAGCATGCGCGAGGTAATCGGCATTAGATGGGAAGGAGGAAGTTACACGCGGGGGATCAATAAAGGAGGAACGACCGACTGGCAGTTGAGGACAGAATTAAGGTGCGGGGGAAAAGAGCGTAGAAAAGTGCACGCGTGAGCAAGCAGCAGCGTTCAGACACACCCGCGCCTAAACGGAATGCGGCAAGCCCAAAATCCTATGCTAATTAAAGTTCTGATCCAGAAAAGAAAATCCGGATTACACGTGCGGGGAGCCGTGCGACCTGCAAGAATTTGAAATTCAAAAAATTCACCCACGCAGTCATCGTTCCAAAAGTTCCCTCCCAACATGCACAAGATGACACGTCATCATTTTTATTTGTGCATGCATTTTTAGTGCGCACGCTAAGGCGTGTCCTAATTGCCAAAACGAAACAGAACTCGCCGCAATTGCGAAAATGTCCTTCCTACTCAGCAACTTGGGCAATCGTGCATTTTACAAAAAAAAAAAATCGCAAAAAAAGTGAAGGGGCAACAAAGCAGTCAGCCCCGTAATCATACACGGGCCTTTTGCGAGCCCACCCTCGGTTTTCGATGTCAAGCGGAGTGTCCTTGCCTGTGACTTGGAGTTTGGTCCACAAAGTGGCATTGATCTTGAGGGACGTCATCGTTGCTACTTGGAATTATCTAGAACACCATCGTGCTTGAGATTATCTCGGATGTTATCATTGGTGCCATTCTTGCTCCAAGCTCCGTTGTCATGGATTGGCCTTGGCACACATTGCACGGCAGCTCGCTCTTATAGCAGGCTCTCATGGCCCATCAGGCCGGAACCTTAGCTTGCACCCCCTCGCATGTAGCACACTCTTATAACCTGCAGCTAGCCTGCGTACATAGTCGCCACGTATTAGTCGGCACCTGCCTTCACTAGGCAGTCTGGCCTGCAAGCCCGCAAACCTGATGTTGAATTTGTGAGAACAAGTCGCCGCTTACACACTGATCTTCGCCCTTCGCTAACCATTTTGTGTTTTTCCAATTTCGTATGCTGGATAATACGGCGGCCTGCATTGCATCCAGTTTCAATTGTTGTCCATTTCATGAGCAACAACCATTTCACGTCCCCACCTCCGCTCTCACTACTCTCTCTCTCTCTCTCTCTCTCTCTCTCTCTCTCTCTCTCTCTCTCTCTCTCTCTCTCT